TTCTAATAATCGGCACGGGACTTTCGAAAGGAGTCTATTGAATGCAGAAGACACATCATGAAGGTGCGCTTCTTCTTGTGTACACGCATATGCGTGTCTTTTAGCCTTCGACAAAACTCCGACTCGCGATTTAAGCAAGTGCAGAAACGACATAAAGTCTTGGAAAAATCGCGATGGTGGAAAAATGCAAGGAAGCAAAAAATAAACAAAAAGAAACCCGTCCAAATGGAGCGCTTTTACAGAACCCCGTAGAATGCTGCCCCGGCGTTATATCCTTCTAAAAATAGTTGATTTTGTGGTTTTTGATAATGCTCAGCAAGTTTCTAATTGGAATCATACTCTATTTTCACTAATTAAAAAGTTAATTAATTAGCCAACTAATCGCAAAGATTAGCTACCCACATAATGTCCGCTTGGCCGTATAACCCACCTGCACAAACCACAAAAGTGTAGCTTTCACGGTTTTTTTTTTTTTAAACAGATCTGTGAGGATAACAAAACAAAAACGCCTGTATGAGCGTCACCGGAATGCTGGCGAACCTTGAACCACACTCTACATTCCTTCCGATTGTTATTTTGCTTTGAATAGTCGCTTGTTTTTACATACCTGCTGCGGAACACACGTTTGGGATTGAGGTGTAGGGAAGTTAAACATCGTTCACTGATGAAGACAAATGCACTAACTAAAGCAATTAAACTTTCACAGTGTTAATCAAGGTACAGACTATTCGGTGCAACCCAAATAACCAAATTTTTCTGTGTTGTTTTCCGGTGAAGATACAAAATGCACGCGCGTTTTCCCATAGGAATGCACAGGAGCACCGGAAAAGTAGACTGGTTGCTGTCTGCTTCAATTTGCGTCACGGAAGTCGCATAGACACCAGCGCCAGTTGAACCTCCAGCGTACATCTAAATAATTTTTTTCTTAAAACATTCTGTAATATATGATTGCCAGCATGAGTGGGATCACTTTAATTTCAGAAAGCGAAATGTATTATTTAGAACAAAAATAACGCATAGCTCTACAGTATAATAACTCTATGAGTACCACTACCCGCGCATGGTTACGTCGAAACAGCATCTTATTTTAGGCTTTTATTACGCTCTAAATATTTGAGCGCGCTCACTAAATCATACGGAGAATTATGTAATCACTACGATCCAACGCATATTTAGACGGATACCAACAATTGTCCGTGTAGAATATCGCTGCATCGTTAGTAGCATCGATCGTGAAAAGGAACGCCACTACGCCGGGTTCTTATAAAGGTACAGAAGTGAGGTATGAGACTGGCACTATTCTAATCGAACTACTATTTGCACACCCCTAATAAGAAATAACGTTTATTTTAAATTTGTACAAACGGTGAGGAAAGAAGAAAAAATATTCCAAATGAAGCTTGACGAGTCATTCTAGGCAAAATCAAAGTTCCAGAAGACACCTCGAATATGTGGCGGTATCACTGTGACAATATGAAACGTCAATGTATGTGTCAGGACACAGACGCCGTTTAGTTGGGGTGAAGGCATTTTGTTTCACCTTTGTCATTGGCCGAGCTCCCTACGTGAGATACACGACTCAACGCAGTTAGCACAACCAAATCCTCAAGAGCTTTTTTCTTGTTTTTTTTTTTTTTACTTTAAAAGTTGTCATCAAAACTAGTAGTTTGATTGACTGTGCCTATATTTGGTACCAATACAAGATATAAATGATTGCTCGTGGGTCGTAGCTACTCTGGTTAATTAATACGCAAAAGCAAAAGGCGTCTCAGTCGATTTCGCACAAACTGTGCAACGCAACGTACATATACACGACGACTGACTCTCAGAATGCTTTTGGGGAATAGCAGAACCACGAGAATTCCAAGCGCATACGCAGCTCCAAAGCCGTGAATTCAATCCTTTTTCTCCGATTTCACAACGTGGCCACCAGACCGAGCTAGTTTTCACTCTACACTGGGATTGGCGGTAGGTCTCCGTTGCCCTCTTTTTCTCGTCTTTTTCGCTGAGGGATTTCGGCTCCTCCGGGATGCAAATGAGCTATAGTCGTTGACAGCCAAACAAATGCGGGGCATGGCCGTTGCCGAGCGTCTTGTTAGCCCTCTGCAGCCAATGAGAATGTAGCATTCGACGATAAGAAACCCAAACAGCCAATCTGGAAGCTTGTTTTAGGTGCCGACAATCCCAACTCTAACGAAGCAAGATATCATAATTTTGACCTAATCATTCATCGCTTTGCTTTTTTTTTTTTTTTTTCTTAGGCCGTAATGACAGACTTGCCGAGTACTGAACCCAAGATTAGACGCACGAGCTTGCTACATGAATAGGATGTGCTATCTTTAATTGAACACGATAACATCATTCGGGAAACTGGTGTTCTCGGTAAGATGGAAGTTCTGAGCAAGTTGAGGTAAGCTGTCGTGAAACGAGAGACGACAAAAAAAAAAAAAGATAATTGGCGCTGTTGCGGAGAGCTCAGATTGACTCTGGTTGTGTTGACAGTCAAAACGCTTCCCTCATGAAGCCAAAGCCATCCATCAGTGATAATTATGCATTATGCGTCAAACGCCTCTTCCTCTTTTCAAGTGCTAGTTTTGGGTTGTTCGCCTCCGTGGCGCTGAGAGTCTGTCTCGAACTCCGGAGCGCTAAGTCGAGGGTTCGATCCCTGGGCTACCTGGGGTGTCGCTACCTAGGGTGTCGTTAAGTCGAGGGTTCGATCCCTAAGGACTACCTGGGGTGTCGCTCATAGCCGTAGTTGCTTTGCAACGTTAAGCCTTTTTTTTCTTTGGGGGGTGGAGGGAGGGGGGGGGGGGGGGGTTTACGCTGCGCGTAGGCAGTGGCCAGTTATCCACGATCCTTTAGACCGCAGGACAAGCGTTTAAAGTTGTATGTGTTTCACGTAGGGCGTCACTTACACTTGGATTCTTGACTATACTGGATGTTCATTTCTGAATGGGGTGAGGGCTGTCGGTGTGATTAACACAATTCATGAGTACACATAGGCGGTCGATGTTGTGAAGTTCAAAATGACAGACAGCAAAAAGAAAAGAACGCATGCATGGAAAGTGATGGCGACTTTGGCGCGAAGGCTCTTTTTCGAGTCTTCGCTCAAGCCGGCGTTCAAACCGTCACTGCAAACTCTGTGTTTCTAAGACAAGCTGCCTGCAATAGCAGAAAAACAATGTCCCCAAAAACATTTCGTTTGCATTTTTTTCTTCTTTTTACTGATTACGTTACACAGCACCAAGCACTCAGTTTCCATCTAAGCGTTTCACTGACCGACATAGATTCCAAAGTTCCAGAGCTTGCCGATTTTGTCGTTCGAAGTTTCAGAAGTTTGCTTATAACTTTTGAACCAGGTAATGGTTCAAAATTTATCAGCGATTTTTTGAAACTTCAAACGACAAAATAGCAGTCGACGAAACCCACAAACACGTGGAGTTGAGTGTCCTTGGCAAACCGTAATAGACCACTTTCAAAATAGAGCCCTCTGTTGGCAGCTGTAGAATCCCAACACAATGACGGACCAAAATATCAACGTAACGGCACACTAGAAACTTCCCCCCCCCCCATAAAAAAAACAACAAAACAAAACAAGGTGATAAGCGCAATGACTTTGCACTTTCGACGGTCAGTGATTGGCTCGTCGGCTAGTAGTTTTGGCCCCGCTCCGACGCTCGCTATATTATGGAATGACTTGCACGTTCCTTGATGCAGTTGTTCCGCCATTGTGCAGTGGTTCCAATCTTCTAATGATCGTCACGTGAATTTTGAAAGGGGTCTATAGGCCTCATTCTCCGCATTAACCTTTCTCTGAAATTGCAAATAACTTTTATATTAAATACCGCCAAGCTTTAAAATTTTGGCATCTGGTCCGGACCACTGACATTACATTTGGGTGAAGACTGATTGAGGCAAAGTTTAATTTGGGGATAAAAAAAACTGTAAAGTATTCCCTTTATGAGACATCCTATAGATAGCTGTTCGGTTCCTCGGTGATTGACACGCCAGTACTTGGTAGCGCGGCGCCTATGACCAGTGTCTGCCAGTTACCGACAATACGTATCGAGATATAGCCTTACTGGTGAGCTTGTCGAAAATTAGCACATTGATTAGATTTGTTATCCTCCTGCAAGTGTAACAAAATACCGTTACTGTTATGTTGTTTCCTACAACTGACGAACGTTTGTTTTGCGTTGCCTTGAACTTTAGTGTTCGGCAGTAGTAGGCGGCGGTTATGAAGTTCGATTGCAAATAGACGTTTACAAAGCGGCTTTATATCTAAACATTTAGAAAGTGGAGACACATAAGGGACGATACGATACATTGTCCTGTCTGTATCGTCCCTTATGTGTCTCCAATACAGCGAGGTCCCTATGGCGCGTTGGATCCTTGGAGGGACCAAAATGTGACTAACCTGAATAAAATATATGTAGGAACGAGCACCGTAATTTGATAGGCAATATGACATAATATGAAGCGAATTACTTTAAACGACAAGGCGGAAAGTTGGGCGAGTTCGTTGATCATCTTACAAGGTAAAACAGAAATAAAAACTCACGCGAAACAAGAAAGCCGCGTACACAGCACTGTTGTTGTTGTTGCTTTGCGCTATTACCTTGTAACCGCGTGGTGGCTATGTTTCCCTTGTTTCTTGTGTCGCGTTGTTGTTGTTGTTTGCGCCGTTTTACCTTGTAAGATGATCAACGAACACGCCCAATATTCTAACTTCTTTAAGCGTATTTCTTATACACGGAGTCCTTTCTTATGTTCTTCAAGTGTAACCGATCATAGCTGTGTATTTTTGCCTTCCATTTTTATTTTGTCTTGTTATTTATATTGCGCGCTCTTTTACACAGTAAGATCACTTCACTCGTTAGATATTCCGAATTCCAACAAGCACGTTGGTACATTGCCGAAAAACCTAAAGCGATACCAGTAACGTCTTTACTTGCGACGCGTTACATAAAACACTCCTTATGACTGACGCAGCCACTCACCGTCTCCAAAGGCGGCTGGCGCGATGCGTGCGTGGCAGCCCAGCGCCCTGCCCCAGGCCGGTTGCCCCAGGTTGTTGCACGACCCGTCCAAAGAGCGGTAAGGTTGCCCGCTCTTGCACGTTTCTGGGTACAGCTTGTCGCAGAGCGGCTTGTTTTGGGACACTGGCTCCAGACCGCCCAGCTCGAGCTTGGACAAGGCATGTTGGACTTTAGTCTTGGACGCCTTGTTCCTGGGAGAGATCGTGGGCGTCGGTGTTGGACCGACACCTGCTAGATAACCAGCCCGTGGTTCTGTATCTCTTGTGTCTCCAGCGGAGGCCAGGGGTTGGCACATATTAAATACGAATGCTGTGCCAACGTCTGGACTCGCGTTCAGAAACAGTAAGGACACGAGCTCGAGACGAACGCTGGCGAAGTATGGGTGTACAATCTACCGTCTTCCGGTAGTGACATAGCAAATTTATCATTACAACCTCTTTATTTAGGAGGTGCGTCTTCAGCGCGCTGCTTTCTAGTGCCAAAGTGAGTAACAGATTCATTCGCGCATAGGTCACCTATTTCCGCATACAGTTCGTTGTTCTTATGTTTTGGGATTTGTGTGACGCACCCCAAAAGGGAATTGCCAAAGAACCTGAGTGGTGAGGTCATGTTTCATTTTCAGTCAACTTTGATTGATTCACTATGTTGAACGTTAAAATAGGAATGGCCTAACAGGCTAATAATCTTGATGTGGTACATGTGTGCTGATTAGCACACATGTACTACATCAAGATAACACTCCGTAAATAGCATTACTAATTGCAAGGGATCTAGAATTGGCAACAGTGAGGAGAATTCCGAGTCGCGGAAGAAGCTGCTCTTAAAGACCCCATGGCGTAGGTCCACATACCTTTGGAGTTACCGAACAATGGTCGAAAGATTCTATTTTTTCTTAGAGTAGACACAAATATAATGTTAAATCCTTTTAGCGTTCATGCTGAAGGCAGGTATACGCACCTCAGCCATGTCACTCAAATATAGCACTGTTGGGAGCCGCACCGACTTGTGCGCCAAAGAACTTGATGATAATGGAATTAATGCAAAGGTGCGAGCGAGCTAGTCAAGAATGACGAAAAATTTCGTCATTCTTGTCCAGCTCGCTTGCTCCTTTGCATTATTTGCATTATCATCATAACCTTAAAATGCAGGCCGTTCACCCTTGTTGGTGTTAGACTGGTAGTGGCGGATAAAACCCATTTGCTCTACTGATATCCAACTGCTGGTTTGCTCAGTGGGTATGCTCCACTGGAAATGGATATGTCCCTGGTTCGACACCAGGACCAGGAGGATTTTCTCGGTCACGACCCTAGTCACCTAGCTCTGTTTTGGAAATTTGTATTTGTCCTTTGTACCCGTTGTTCTTCTCCAGGGTTTATTTTCGGCAAAGAGCTTGAAATCGATACAAATAAATACAAAAATATTAAAATAATGTTCGCGCTTGACTCAGCCGAGAAAGCTGCGCTTCTTAATTGCACATTATCTACGTCTAATAAGGAGCTGCAAAACAAAAAATAGGATTCCTCAAAGACATGGGCAATGTAGTCGGCAGAATTATTTTCAAGCATTTTAGCGTGCCCTTGCAGCTATGCCATGCTGAGCAGCGTTACTAGGTCAAAGTCATTTGTCGAGGTTCCTAGAACGCCTGGCGCTTTTCTTGTGAGGCGTCCGCTAGTTTGTGCTCGCTACGCTATCAGCCCACCCTTTGTATAGTTATAACTTTGTCTTAGCAGTACGTAGCGCCGGGTCCCTGAGAGTACCTCGTCCTAGAACAAATTATGGGCTTCAAATGTTACAGCATACATTGCCAACATTACTGAACTTTTTAAGAGACCATCATGTCTGTCTTGATGCACTAAATAAGAAAACAATACGCACAATATTCACTTCTATCTTTTAAACTTTTTTCTCCTGCATAGAACTGCCTGTTTTGTTTTTTCGCCTTTAAAATGTTTCTGTTAACGTTTCCTGTCTGCCGATCTGCCGATAGGGGGCAGGGGCTTTGTCAAGCTGCACATTTTGCAGCTTTTTTCCCTGTCTCCGTCACCCATATGTACAAATGGGAGTAAATAAATGAATTGAATTGAATTGAAATACACCTCATACTTAAAATCGAAAGAATAAAAACACGGAGGACAAGCACAGGACAACTATGTTCAACTCGCGCGCTTTTACCAGTACACCTCATGTATCTTTATGAAAGGAGGCTTGCACGTGACATGACAACTTTACTCCGAGCTGTGGACGGTTCGCTTTATTGTGAAAAATGACCTGCTGACATCAGTGTAGTTCCGAGTACTACCCGGAAAAAACCTGCAAATGTCTGCAAACTTTTTTTACGGCTATATGATGGAAGGGTACCATGACGCGATTGCAATAAACTTACAATTTGATAGTTTTTGCAGAATGGAATATTTACCTGATCATTTTCTCCCCTCGGAGACGCTTTAACATACAGGGTGATTTTTTTTTTCCGAACAGACAAAGAAAAAATTGTAATAGATGCACTCATACGGTTTGCGCAGGTGAGTTATACGACCAGGGGGATATTCTGTGGGTGGCTAATCTTTGCGATAAGTTGGCTACTTAACTGAAATTCCTTAAATAACTCTTTAATTATTGAAAATAGACATATGGTTCCAACTGAAAACTTAGACAGCGTCATCGAAAACCGCTGAATCAACTCTTTTTAGAACAACTTGAAGCTCGTGGGAAACGCGGGGGCGCACCAAATTTACCACTCGTGAAGCAAACGCAAAGGTAGCAGTGGTGTAACGTGATAATTAGATCTTTATCGCGTTCTGCCTCGCACGTGACGGAACGCAGAAACCAGCGTGGGCTTGGGAGTCTCATGAAAGAACTCACTGGAAACTCTGCGCGCCCAGTGTACCCAGCTACACATCACCACGCACATAAGTCGGAAGACGGCATAAGAGGTGAGATTGCTTGGGAGGTGCGCGAAATGTTAACCTTTGAGAATATTTTAAAGAGCTATAAAACGCAGGCAAGATTAGTATTTTAGTTCTTTAGACGTGACAAAAAGCACTTCCAATACTTGTTCAACCCAAGGCCATAAATTGTTGCACAACTCCTTTATGCTCCCTGAACGCTCTGAACAGTGCTCATTACCCACCGTTAGATTGAGGGTATACCGCAGGCACTAAGCAGGAGGCGCCTCAGTGAGTTGGTAGACAGCACGGCTGGTGGCCTAGTAGGGCAACTTCTGGCAGGAGATGCCACCGAACGATTGGGCATGAGCACATGGGTCAGAGTTCCACAGGGTACACGGACGTTCCAGCACGAGTTCGGGTGCAATGAATGGTGTAGTGCACCGTTTCAGACATCCGATATTATAGCATAAAATGGTGCTACCTGACAAACTAAACTTCACTGCGCGGTCGTATAAAGCACGACCGCTGTTTACACCGCAGAAGTTACGCTGTTCTTTTATTTTTCAACATAAACAGTTTGCTCCCAACTTTTCATGTCTAAGCCTTTTCTTACAACGTGAATCAACAAAGTATTGATTTTTTTTCTCAGCACCCACTCCTTAAATTACCCCGAGCATGAGGAGACGGTACCATAATATGACAAACCAATAATCTCCTCAGCTGTATTTTGACATGCCAAAACAAGGCGCTTTTTTTTTTTCTTTTTCGTATAGCGCTTACTAGCGCTCACTGTTGGTTTAACAGGCTCCCAAACGGGAAGGTGCTGTGTGAAAACATAGCCCCTTCCCGTTTATGGGAAGGTGCTATATGTAGGTAAGTAGGTGGTATTTCTAAAGTCTCAATTTTATGTACTCTATAGTCGGTGACAGGTTACCAGTTCAGGGGAAGCTCCTCTCACCTATTTCCGCTCCAGCAGAGCGAACGCTCCGGAGGATGTCGCCTCCTCTCCAGTTTTCGCTCTGCTAAAGTAGAAAGAGGTAGGAGGACTTTCCCCCGAATCCTTAACATGTCGCCAACTATAGACCCTCTAAATTAACAGTTTCGGATAGTTCATGCATGATCAACTTAGGCGAGCTCAAAAGTTCAGCCGGTGCTCTATACATCTGCACCAGGTATTCCTCACCTCCGAATGAGCAGGAGCAGGGTGTCCTCGTAGCTTCGCTGAGCTGCGTCCAACAGCAGGGCGTCCGGGTGCACCGGTCGGTTCCTCTGGTGCCTCAGGGACGGGGAGTATCGCGGACCGTCAGACGGCAGCGCTGCGTCGTTCGTTCGCGCAGTTAATTAACATGACCCTGTCACTCTTCGCGCGAACGTTAGTACAAAAGTTCCTCCAGGCTTCGTTGCCTTGTCACCGACGGCACGCCTTCTCGGGTCCTTTGCGGAGAGCAAGTTGTCTGCTTCTTTCGCAGGGGGTTGTGGTGACGTCAGAACGATGCCGAGATCTGATTTGCTTCGATTAGAAGGGTAGTGGGCAGACCTCCACGCTATATGCCTCAAAGTCTACCCCACTATCTCTTTTTTTTTTTTCTTTTTTAATCATGCGATAAACGTTTAGCGTTCTGACATCATCGCAACCCCTGTGCACGAAGCAGACGAACTTGCCCTCTGTGTAGTCATATAATAGCTTGAAAAGCGCACCACATCTTCTCGCTCCTCGGCCAATGAGGTTGGTGCGTGAGCCGATAAGTACACTCCGATTCACATTAAGTTTGACCGCTGGCAAGGATACAATTCGATGGAAAATTTTCACTGGTGGCAAAATGGCATCGTCCACGCGCTCGTGGTTTCTGCGTTTGCTACTACCAGCTAATCCAATCACAGAAAAAAGAAAAAAGAGCGCAGTATTACGCCGCATTATCTGCGCGTGTTTGGTTCAGTCCGTTAAAAGAGACGTAAGAAGACAACAAGCGCCTTGGTGATACACTTTTCCCGCGGCGTGATGGGCTTTGTGACAACATGGTTATAGACCAACTCAACTCTATGACGTCACGCCTCTTCGATGGCGCTGCTGTGGTCACTGCGCATGCGCAGATGGTACGCCTCGGGCGAATCTGGTGTCTGGGTGACACAAGATTATAAGCACAGCCGGCAAACTCCGGCTTTGCTCATAAACGGCGTGTGAAAGTATAAACGGCGAGTAAGTATAAAGGTGTTTATAACTGCATGAATCAGCTGGCATGTGTGCACGCTTTAATGAACGTTAAATTTACGCAACCTCTCGAGAAGATAAAACGCGCCAGAAAGTTGGGTAAAACGCTCGAGTCGAGGCCTTTTATGGGATTTTGCTTGATTCACGATTCGAAACTGTCTGTCTTTTCTTTGTTGGTGCTTTCAGATATAAGAAACTCCCGGGGGAATACATGGCGATGTATTGTTGGATACAACTGTCGGCGACAGCACGCTGTTGATGTCAACACATTGTGGGTTGTGCGGACAGGTTCCTCAAAATATTATGCCCATAGTTGAGGTAAGCATATTTAACCAAAATTTGCATGTCTCAAAACGACGACAAAAAAAGAAGACAATACAGTACTTGCATATCTTTGTCTAACCGTCATGTTTTGTCCTTTTCGATTGAATAAAAAAGGGGTTTGTAATATGGGAGTGTTTATGCATAACGTTTGAACTGTCTTACTCTTTCCGTGTGCTTTTACAGCCCCGGCCAAACCATGCTAATGCGAAGCATATTTCAAGTGTGGGTGTAGGAACCAATGGTCCCGGAACTAACGGTCCCGGAACAAATGGTCCCGGAACAAATTGTCCCGGAACTAATGGTACCAAGTGTAAGATAGGAAAAAAAATGGTCCCGTAAGAAGATTGTTTTGAAACTAGGTAATACCATGCAATGTACGTCGTCCTTTATGCACTCAGTGATGTTATGGTGGAATGAAGGATCTCGTCTACATTTTGAAGCCGGTTACTTCGAAAGAAGTGGACATAATTTTATTCAAGATCGTAAGAATATTTTCGAAATGAATACTGTCCAACAGTTAGATTCTGACTGTTAATTTAGTGACCTTATACGATAATATAGCAGCTATTACTATTTAAATATAAGGGGCTTTACTGCAATATATATGATATCAGTAGGCTCTTTTGAAACGAAAAATGAATACCCCTAGTTGGGTCCATATCACATGAGCAAATGACGTTCTAGCGATCAGCGAGATTTCAGCGAATCGACGTTTTAGTGAATAACGGGAGTACGTGTTAACACCCCCCCCCCTTTTTTTTTCCCGCGCTGCGCTTACGCCACTTCGCGGCGGCAGTCTGTGGCGGCTCATCACAAAAATGTGAACCCATTTGGCCCACCCGAAAACGCCGCCTCGCGGCTTCCGACTATTCGCTAAGGTGTCATTCGGTGAAACGTGGGCGTTCGCTAAAACGTCATTTGATCAAGTGAGTGCCTGTCCTGCTAAAGCCATGAAACTCGAATTACTTCTATCTCGTCATGACGCGTGGTGGTAGCACACATAACACGCAGAGCTCGATGCCTTTATAGGTGCATTGGGTTTCCGTAGCGCAAAACACTTCTGAGCTCCCCAGAAAAATATAGAAACCGTTCGAGTTCGTGCTACCGACAGCCTCGAAATTCGGTGAGTGTTATTGGATTTTAACGGATTTATCCGAAAACGCAGAAGCTACATTGGCGATGTTTATCTGGGACCATTTTTTCTAGTTTGTACTTGGGACCATTAGTTTCAGGAACATTTGTTCTGGGACCATTTATTCTGGGACCATTTGTTCTGGGACCATTTGTTACGTTTCGCTTCAGGGGTATATCTCTGCTAGAAACAGGAAAATAAAAACGCACGTTCTAAATTCTCTTTATTTTTTTTTTTTTTTTTTTTTTGCTTTCGCTATGATATTTTTAGGGAACTGATGCTAACCGTGCATGTAAAACGTGATGTGTAAACTTTCTTTTTACTTTTTCTAAGGAATACAAAAGGCGATTTTCATAGAACGTTCTCTCTTTTTGTTTCTTCCCTGGGTCAAGTCTACCGGACATTGGGACACGATCTAATTAACCCATAGACCAGTCTAGTAATTGCTTCCCATGCGTGTAGCTTTGTTTACTACGATGCAGAACGTGTTGTGAGCGTGCCAAGTTCTCTTATACAAAATATTAGACATCCACACATGCATACAGAACCCAAAGACTCGGTATTTTTCACCTGGAAGACAAGCGCTGATAAGGTGCATACATCATAACAATAATCGCCTTCCACTGACTCTCAGTTTTGTGTACCGGGCTGCGGAAGGAATTGAGATCATTGGCAGTAGCCATCTGCTATGGACAGCCAGACACCGCCTATGCATGCTTGGCCTACTGACTCGGCATTTTTCGCCTAAGTAACAAACACCTGCAAAGTGGTTTTTTTTTCAAAATTCAGGACTGAATCTAAATTGATTGATCGATTAACTGGCTGCTTAATATATGCATTGGTTGATTGATTAGAAGATGTATACTCACTTGGGTACGGTTCCAATCGGGCGAACTCCTTCAACGCGATGTCCAAGGCATCTTTCACTTCAGCCAGCGTTAGGCTAAACGTTTCGCCTTTCCCTTCAACTTGCACTACGACATCGTCATCGGCCGCCCACACACAACTCCCCACGTCGAGCAGAAGCAGCAGAAGGACCTTCCACGGAAGCATCGCGTTCGTACTGGACCGAGCCTCAGGCTGGTGTGGCCTTTGTCATAGCGAGGTGTGTTTTTCTGCTCGTGTTTCACCCGCCCCGTTGAAATGTGCTGCGGTTGCGGACGTGCAGGAATCAACGCGGTCGGGTAGAAAAGCTGTAATAGCGCATAAATCAGAGGTTGTTTATTTCTCTAATAACCATAACACGTGTTCTAAGGGCTAGAGGGGCAAATGAAGTTTGTTAGATATTTCAGAAGCGGCGCGTGAATGCATGAGCCGACCAGCATAGATCTGCCTGTAGGACGGCTTGTGTGTTAACAACCAACTTTCGTAGCAAGCAGCTCAGAAAATTAAAATTTTCGGTCTGAATAAGCTATGTTGATATATCATACACTTATTTTGCGTGTATATCATGACGTTCCCCATTTTTTTAAAATTGCTTCATCATTCTCAAAATTGCAATTCGCGTACAAGCACAATGTGATATATGTCGATATATGTGCCCGTGTGTCCGAAGCATGAACACACGAAAGAAAGGGGGGGGGGGGAGGATGCCCCCCCCCCCCCCCTACACAGACTTCGACAAATATACCTGCAGCATGGGGTGCTGCCATTCTGGAGGCCTTTCAATTTTTGACTACAAGTGACAGAAGAGTAGCTCGTTTGTTTCCGACTCTAAGCTTGATGTTCAATGTAAATAAGTCTTTAAGAACGAAAGCAGCTACCCGCAACTTCGTCACTAAATTCTTAGAAGTTACCAGGGATCTGCTAAATTGCCGTACCTTTGCTCTGCCATGTGCCCCAAATCAAAATTTTTCAGCGAAGACCATATTTCTCTAATTGAATCCTTAAATGAAAAGTCACCCTACAATGTTGATGTTCAAGAATACACGTTTTCTGTTAGCAATCGCAATAACCACATCAATGTCGCCAATATTGCGTTGCCCAAAATGGTAGCACGGGCGAGTAATTGCGACCTAAGCGTTAATAATAACAAAACAAATTCTGTTTTTTTTTTTTTTTTTTTTTTTTTTTTTTTTTTACATTTTCATAATTAGAAGTTTGATATTAAAATCGGTTGTAAAATAGCTTGCTGATGATCTTAATATCTTTGATGTGATATTTTTGTCGAATTGCCACGTCTGTCTCTAAGAAAATGGTCGCATTTCAGAAACTGACATACCATCAAAGTTCTTCACTGTAACCTTAATTGGGATTACGTTCGCCTTGTTCTTCAATGTTTACCAACAAAAAAAGCATAGTTACTGCGACAAAAAAAATATTCACAGTAATTTGTATCATGTATTATTGCTTTCAAACTGAGAAGTTACCTTATAAGTTTAAAGAACTAAGGGGTGGTTTCATTTAAAGTCAATATAAACTGTCTTGGTGTCTTTAGAAGTTTTCACAATCAATCTATATAACAGCTCGATATCCTTGATGATTAAAACTATCCTTTAAAGCATTACAAGCGTTCATGGCGCATCGACACTGGAAGCGGATCCGCGCTCGCGAAGCGGTTGCGGATGCGATTCGCGAGCGACCCCGTTCAGAGTCCAGACACACCGGGAGGCGGTTGGCGAGAAGCGGTTGGCGGATTCTCGGCGATCACGGATGATCTTTTGATCCTTGCGTTTGGCAACCCTGTTTTACAATACAAAACCCGCTTCAATCCACAATCCAAAGCCAAAATTTTGCTTTTTTGACACTCTGAGATATTTCTTCGGAATGTGCGCACGTATCACGAGTTCAGGCAGCGAAAAAGAAAGGCATGGACCCGCAAAACTTGCCTGTGATTCCCTCGACTTCGCCCACAAGCAAAGCGCAGCTAGACGCGCCTTGCTGACTCAGCACAGGATGCTCCCGACCTTTTCTTCGAAGTGAAGCCTTCCCGCATGAATAGCTGACCTTGTTTTCGGGATAGAGGGCCAGTTCTTTCTCCTCTCGTTGTTTGCTCTTATCATTTTCGGAGTTATAAGCGGGGCTGTGGACACTTGTGCGGGGGAATGTGTCCGGTGCTCGTCGGTCGTGGCTTCGTTGGTGGCGGACTCTCCTCTAGTCACCCGCACGTCATCGAGTCTACAGTTCGTCTGACATTAAGCTCAAATAAACGCCCTATGGATTACATCTGCATCGTCTGGTTTATTTCTTGGATATGTACCTTTTTTTTCTTTTGTTAGTAGCAATAGTTAAAGGTCGAGCTAGCGCAGGTGCCCGGCCAGATCCGCGATAGTGCCTTGGCTACGCAATCAGAGTCAGGACGTCTATAGACCGACACGCTGTTTACAAACAAGCCCGCGTTTGCCCACACCAGGTGTGGGCACTGCGCGTGCGCGGAGACCGAATTCACGCGGGGTGAAGCACCCGCGCATGCGCAGTGCCGTCGACAGCGCCACCGCAGCTGCATGACGTCAGGGCCGCGTGTTGGTCTATATTGGCGTTCGTGGTGGTCATGCACGGTGTCGAAAGCCTTCAATAGTTTACGCGACTGCTCTTAGTGGCTACAAAAGGCGACATTTCGCTCGATCAGGGGCGGGTTCCGACGTTCTACGGGCAGAGACTAACAAGGCAGCGAGCTTCGGGCTGTGGTACCCGGAATAATAAACAAACTATATAAACAAATAATAGACAAGTGACGAACGTGAACATCGTGTTTCTTCGTTGATTTGTCTGCTTTAACGCTAGGACAACATGTCGCCTTAGATGCCTCAGCAGCGACAGGTGGCATCTTGTTCCGAAAGCCACCGATGTCACGTCACCGTCTCGTTGCGATTGGTTGCCGTTTCGCGGTTTGCGAAAGTGGTTGGGGCGTTCACACTAGAAACGGATCCGCTAATGTGAAGCGGATCCGCGCGTTCTCAACTGCAAAGCGGCTGGGATCGGGTGGTTGGAGCGCGTTTTTGTCAACCGCTTCAAGATTGATTTCCCCCCCCCCCCCCCCCCCCCCCCCGCTTGGCCAACCGCGAAGCGGCAACCAATCACAACGCGACGCTGACGTAACGTCGGTGGCTTTCGAAACAAGATGGCACCTGTCGCTGGTGAGGCATACAAGGCGCTGAAGTCCAGCAGATAAATCAACGAAAAATAATTAGGGGGGGGGGGGGGGGGGGGGGGGGGAGGGGTCCTGATCGAAACGAGCAGGGGTGGGGATTGAACCCAGGATCTCTGGGCTATGTAGCAGAAGCTTTCACTCCAATCAACAAAGAAACGTGATGCTCACGTCCGTCACATGAAATCTTAACGGGCTTCGCACCAATGATTCGCTTCGGGTGTTGTCAAAGGCAGGAGCCGTCTGCACGTGTGCGCGAGAAGCGCGAACGCACGCCGCAACCGGTCCAGGCGATGTAGTATCATCGGTGTGTGACGTCACCGAGATAGGCTGTGTGTGCACACCAACGTTATTAGATTACCACATTTACAAAGCTGCTCATAGACGCCGCATGCACGAACAGTACCCCCCCCCCCCCTCACTCACCACGACTCGCCAAGCGTCGCCCGACGCGCCGCCAGACGGCTGCTTTGGTAACTGAATCAGGATACGAAACTTTCAGCGTTACTAGAAACGTAAAAACCAACAGAAAAAAAAAAAACTCTTTTTGTAGTAACTTTTATTGGAGTTTAGTACAAAATGGGGGGCGCGTGATGTTTTCTAAAATCTTTAGTTTGCTAGGTTTTGCGGCACAATAATATATTTTTTATACAACCATGCCTCAGCGGTGATTTCAGGTAGCGCGTCCCGACCTAGGCTCACCTTAACTTCGGGGCGAATTCGCGGCGCGTCCTCTGGGGTGACGGGGGTGGCATCCCTGTAACCCTTTCCACTGTATCTGTTTCGGCTCCGAAATGGCCGATTTTAAGCCAAAATAGATGTTAGGAGCAGTTTCTCGAGTGACCGCGGCAGGGTAAACAGGGGCGTTGTGACTGCCATCTGGCGCTTCAGCTGGGCTCCTTGGATCGCATAGTTATGAAACGAAAATCTAGATGGCGCTTCGAACGACGCTTGGCGGATGGAAGTGAGTGAGGGGGGGTACCGCCCTCCGCGGGAGTTCCACAACTGAGGTAATCTAATAACGTTGGTGCACACGTAGAAGAAAAAGAAGGAGACTCGAGATGAACGAGATTTGGACTCCTGCATTTTTTTTTTTATCCAAATGTCGGTTTACCATTTGTTTCAACTTTCAAGCTAAAAAATGAGCGCTGGAATTTTGTTTCAATACCCCTTCAATATTTCTACCAACGGAGTCTGTCTGCTAATGAAAGGCATTTGATCGGCGCCACAGCCCATAGATGGTGGCACATATGTTCGCAGAAGGCCACGATGGGCACGTCCCTAGACCTCGGCCATAGCATACGACGTGTCTAAGCTATATAGAAGCGATGCGTTCTATTTCTACGCAAGTTATAAAGTGCGTGATTATTTTATTTTACTAATAATACAAATAAAAAATTCAAATAAAATGGGAAAAAGAAACCAGATGTATTTGCTAGTCTTTTTCGACAATTATTTTCGGCAACATTTTGTCATCTGCTTTGCACTCTGTGGTTGTTACCGCTTCTCTTTACTCGTCTGCAACTTTCATCCGTACTGTTTTGTGGTGCAAGTCAACTTCGCGGTGTGCTCAGCTCCCAATGAGCGAAATAAGGTAGCTATCTACTGCGAGGAGTGCCTAAGGACGAAAGAAGTTCGCCGACGTTTTCGGGCGGAATTTCGGCGTCGACCTCCGGGCTCCCATACAATTCTATGCTGGGCGACGCCATTCTACGCTGGGTGAGGCGCAGATTTGTTCGCTACTCATTACCAGTAACCAAATTACTCGTGATCAATTACTTTTTAGAGTGATTTGGTAATAATTTAAATGCATTCCCTACCAAAAAAAAAAAACAGCTTAAACGGGATTATGGAACAGGAAATTTTAACTGGATTTCTTGCTGGAAACCTACAATCCAGTTTGCTTACCACTGTCTGCAAACTGGATTTAAGGTTTCCAGCAAGAAATCCAGTTGGACTTTCCTGT